GGCTTTCTTCATAATCCAGCGCTTGTTAGCAATTTGGTCTCTAGTTCTTCTGCCCCTTCGAAATCCAGCTTATACTTCTGGGAGTTCTCAGTCCACATACTGCTGAAGCCTACCTTCAATGAATTACTTTCAATCAACTACCTTCAATCACTTTCCTCGAATGTTTTCAACAACAACAACAAAAAGCTAATAAGAAACAAGAATTACAAGGTTTTAAGCAACTCTCAACTTCGCAAAAAGGGAGGATGTGGATGTGGTGGAGTATAAAACAGAAATCCTAGGGAATGCTAAATCACATACTGCTGAAGCCTACCTTCAATGAATTACTTTCAATCAACTACCTTCAATCACTTTCCTCGAATGTTTTCAACAACAACAACAAAAAGCTAATAAGAAACAAGAATTACAAGGTTTTAAGCAACTCTCAACTTCGCAAAAAGGGAGGATGTGGATGTGGTGGAGTATAAAACAGAAATCCTAGGGAATGCTAAATGTATTGCATGGTATCACAATAGAGGCAAAGATGAAGAAATAAACTTAAATAAATGTAAAGGTTCCCCTTGATATTTAGTTCAGTCGTGTCTGACTCTAGGGCTCAGTGCTCATTCCTGTTTCCAAGCCATAGAGCCAGCGTTTGTCCGAAGACAGTTTCCATGGTCATATGACCAGAGCGACTAGGCATGGAATGCTGTTACCTTCCCATTGTGGTGGTACCTGTTTATTTACTTGCATTTACATGCTTTTGAACTGCTAGGTTGGCAGGAGCTGGGACAAGCAATGGGAGCTCACTTCGTCATGTGGGTTCGATCTTATGACTCCTAGTCTTCTGACCTTGCAGCACAGAGGCTTCTTTGGTTTAACCCACAGTGCCACCACATCCCTTAGCATTGCCCTTAACTAAAGTCCAATAGGATAGGTTTATTTTAATATTAAAACATAGGAAGGAAAAAAGAACATTTGGAAACAGAAGGAAAAAATATCTGGCCATAGACCGATAATACTACTTCCCAGAAATGGAAAAGCTCTTGACCGTTTCATGAAAACAAGAGAAACATAACTCCATAATGGTGCCTTTGGGACTACAGCTCCCAGAATCCCCCAGTTGTCCTGAGAAATTATGGAAGCTGTATTCCAAAAAAGTGATATTTCCAAGCTGTGGAGAGATACATTTGGTAATAAATACTTCTTAAAAGTGGTAATAGTGCTTATTTTTATAAATGACACTTTTGTATTAACGCAACAGCCACCAATTTGTAGCCAAATATCAAACACCAACCCCAGTTTGCCTAATTATATATTTAAATAATTATCCCTATGATGCTCAGTAAAGTTAACAATGACAGAAATGGAATTCAAATCATTGTTGTCTTTGCGTCTGCTGAGCCACCCATTTTTAAGCTACATATTAGCCTTTCTGGCATTCAGAAGATTTCCACATTTTAAGACCAGTGTTAGCCGCCTAGAGTGGTCATGTTACCACATAGGCGGGATATAAATAGAATAAATAAATAAGTGTTTATTCAGCAAGAGTCTTTTGAGATCCTTTGTAGCGTTTGCCCCTAGTTATCCCTGGTTATCTTCCAACCACTGAGCACATGAAGGCTAACCAAACTCCTCTTCACACGCTGCCACCAGCTGATCACTAAATCAACATACTTTTCTAAAGAAAGATGAAGGTCCATTCATCATTGACTTTTAAAATAAAACAGGTCTATTGATTACAGATGTTTTGATAACAATTCATACACATCTTCATCAGGTTTATCAATCACCAATAACAATCTTCTATTTGATCTTACAGTTATTATACCCTCGTCTGACTAATCACACCTCAGATCTCTCAAATATCACTCTATCTCTCACTCCACTCTGATCTCTCTCTCTCTGACTCTGACTGACTCTTCACTCTCAGGCTCCGCCTTTTTTACCTCTCTTGGCTCCGCCTCTCAACAACATTAGCCTGCAACATGAATAATGCATTTAACATAATATAGGAGAACGCCACATCCTTCATCCCAATGAATAATGCATGACTATTTAACATAATATAGGAGAACGCCACATTCTTCATCCCAGATATTTTATGTCTTTTTTTTCTGTATGTGTTTTTGTGTGTGCCTGTGTGCACACACAATGTACTAAACTGAATTGACTGTCATTATGAAACTGCTATCCTGCTTCAAGTTTACAGCACTACGCTCGTCATGGAATCTTGGGCTGAGTTGATCCCAGATAGAGACTCTGGATTCTCATCTGAAATCTTGTATTTTTTTATAGTTGTTTCCTTTCCCAAGTTGCATGCACACATCTATATATGTATATGCTGGCTGGATAGCTCAGAGGCATGGGCATCTGGCTATGAAGCCAGAGGTTAGGAGTTTGATTCCCCGTTGTACCTCCTATGAGTACAACTGGCCTGTGTGGACTAGGGGCAAGCTGCACCCCCAGACGATAGGAATGGTAAACCACTTCTATGTATTCTTTACCTAGAAAACCCTGGAAATGGTTGCATAAGTCAGAGGTGACTTGATGACACGTGATTATATATGTTTGTATATTTGTACATGTGGAAAGAGAGAGGTGCATATTGTATAATATACAGTATACACACACACTTATGCAATGTGAGCCTCTCTCTCTCTCTCTCTCTCCCTCCCTCTCTCTCTCTCTCCCTCCAGATATACAAATAGATAAAGGTGTATTTGGAATACATTACAATATCATATTAAATGGGAGAGGGATGACTTCCCGTCTATTTTAAGACCCAGCTGAATTTTCTGAAGCGCTCCACTGAATAACCAGTGCAAATTGTAATAAAAAACTCTAAGTACTTTATGCTTAGAAAGGTTGCAGTAAGTTGGAATCAAACTGACAACACATAAAATTATTAATATGGCCAAACCAATGGCATTCCGAACCAGGTTGTACATAGGCAGTAGCAAAACTAAGAAGGAATTTAAAGTCAGTTTTATGTTTGTTTTCTTCTTGCCCAGCCTACATAAGTCCGGCAATAGAGCATCAACTCCAGACAAACAGGTGTCAAGAGCTTCTACTCTTGAACTAAGAGCCAAGCTGGACCTTTTCTAATAACAGGAAACATGCTTGGGAGCATACATGCTTTGGACTGTACCATATACTGTAGTTATGAACCTAAAAACCTAGGCTTATGAAACCAAGAAGCCTCCATGTCCGAAGGTATGGCATCTTATGCACATTTCCTTAGAAGCAAACTACACTGTGTTTGGCGTGCTTTCAAGGTGAATGGCTGTTTGCAGCAGAAACAGACTAGACTCCTTAAGAGTTGAAGGACTTTCATTTTTCCTATCATGAGGTTTTATAGTTGCATGTTTAATTTTCTCTTCCTTCCTTCCTTCCTTCCTTCCTTCCTTCCTTCCTTCCTTCCTTCCTTCCTTCCTTCCTTCCTTCATGACTGGTCACTGGGAGATAAGCCTGTGGCTCATGATCAAGTTGACTGTGCAACCAGATTTGGAAAAATGTGGAGATAGCTTTGACAAATGTGTCTTTGGGAGGGTAACATTTCCCCACCTTTTAACCACAAAGTATTGTTTTTCCATAACTCAGCAGGTTGGAACACTCAGGTGTCAGGAGTCTGAATCCCTGTTGTGCCTTCTAACAGAGTGGGTCAGCCCTGGTTGGGTTATGTGGCCTTCCACCTGTGCAGCCTTGGTCAAGCTGCAAGGTCCCACAACACCACCAGGCTGATGGACTGGTGACACTTCTGAATACTTTGCACCCAGCAGGATCCCCACAAGGCAAGAGTGACCTCATGGCACATAAAACACATAAAACGCAGCCTTGGTCAAGCTGCAAGGTCCCACACCACCACCAGGCTGATGGATTGGTGACACTTCTGAATACTTTGCGCCCAGGAGGATCCCCACAAGGCAAGAGTGACCGCATGGCATATAAAACTATTATTGCTATACATTTAGTTATTTCTAATTGTCAATAAATAAATAAATAAATAAATAAAACAATTATTGTTATACATTTAGTTATTTCTAATTGTCAAGCTGGTGCCTCATTTGTTTCTGACCAGTGGCACCACTGAAAAGCCATAGGTGCAGCCATTTCATCTGGCGTTCCATTTTCTTTTCTGATACAGTAAGAGAGACACACAAACGTGCAAATAAATGTCAACTATTCTCTGCACCTTCTGTAACATTCAGTGAAAGAGACAGAGTAACAGCCAAGTCACAACCAAAAGCATCCTTCCTCCAAAGTAAGCCGATGCAAGATTACCACCTGAGAGAGACCAGAGCAGGGTCCCTCAGTGCACCCACCCACACTGGATATGTCTTGCCAGCTAGGTGTGTCCTTATTTACAGCCTTGCATGACAACTGTCAAGATTTTCTTTTAAAAATAATGAAAATATTCAGGGTTCAGTAACAAAGCCATAGCTGGACAACTTTTATTATTACTGATAAAAAATGTTATAATGCTTTTTTGGATGACACCGCTCAGAATTTCCGTGGAGGGGGGGGGAAAGAAGGATATACTTTTTTGTGT